TCTGCATATTTTATTGGGACATTATTTCATTTGCTTCTTGTGATGGGGTTGAGTTTTTCTTTTTTCAACCACAACCTTTGTTAAATGATCAATTTATATTGCGAAGCTGTTCCCTAAAGTTTCCCATTTTAAATATCCCACAAATTAATCATTATATTTCTAAGGCATTACCGCAAAGAAAAGGTCTGGTCAATTCAAAAGTTATATTTCTATGCCACAAAAATATGCAAAACAATTAATGGCCCTCTATGATGGAGGCTCAATGTAAATGTCTACAAAAAATGAAGGACAAAAATAAACCAATAATAAATTCTTGAACTTTTGTTGGATTTGAAAATTTTCTTTAAGTGAATTCTTGGAAAAGTCAACATCTCATCCGTCTCATTTTGCAACATTTCGTGGCAATTAAACAATTATTGACGACGATGCTGTTTCCAAAAAATTGTGTTGTGTTGTAGACGACCTCAGTGTTGTTGTTGCCTCCCACCCCTACTCCTCCATACGGTTCATAGTGCTCCCTTTCGGTTGTTAAATGACTTTAACTTTTTTAATGAATATAAATGAATTTGCCTACCCCAAATGCTTATGGCTCGACTGACTACTCCTTGAGAAAATGAGAGAAATCTACCAAGCCAGTTAGGGAACTCTATTAACTGAAATTGTTGTTAGGCAGGCAACAGCAGTGTATCACAATTTTTCTCATTAGATTTTCATCGTCAACATCATTATCAACGCTTACTTGCCACTGGAGATAGTAGCATGAAGAAGCTGCTCGCAACGCCAGATGATACGTTAAATGACGGGTGGAAATATTTAAATGACTTTATTACCTAATGACATGGATACATTTTTTATACAAACAATAACTCACCTTTGCCGAACACTTTGTGTTCCGTTTCAATATAAATTATTCACATAACTATGCTATACGAAGATGTGGAAGTGAGATAGAGAGTTATGTGTATAAACACAATCGAATTGAAACACATGATGAACAATATTGTGGAACGTAAAGGCTAAGCTTTTGTGGAGTTGGGGAAATTAATGAAAAAACTATTTCATATACTCGTTTTGTCAATATATTTCTTATAAACAGTTCCTCAGTAATATTTTGACCCGATTGAGGCATTAAGGAAGCTCCTACAAATGAAGGCAATTATTTGGGACTATAAATATTAATTATAATCGTTATTTCCATATAATTATTTTGTGTAACATTGATATTCAATCTCGATCCGTAAAAGGGGTTCAAATCTCTACATATGTATTTAGGAACACAAATAAACATTTTATTTACTTTTTAAACAAAATAAATATCTATGGTAACAACATAAATTCAAATATAGTTTTCCCATTTTTAAAAAGAATATTATTTTACTTGTTCAAAGTTGTCATCCTAACTCAGTATTCTTCGTTTTTTGCCTCACCTAATAAGTATACCCAAGACAATCATCTAATCCAATGTGCACGTAATATGACCATGAGATCGTACTTTAAATACAGAAAACTCAGCAAAACAAATAAGTGACTGAGAAACCAAGGCATTTTGTCTGCAAAACGTGACTCAACGACAAAGCGAAATATGGCGATGCTTGGATGATATCCAAGAGCAGGACTGTGCTCAGGTAAAGGAGGATTTTTACCAAGAGCAACTAATTACGCACTTAATGTTGTGCATAATACTGTGAGACATATTAAAACAGTTATTGCTGCACAACACAGCATGGAGAATATTAGTTCAGTTCTGACAGTTGTTTGGCACAAGCAAAAAACCAACAACAAATAGTCATGGTTGTATATGTGTCTGTGTGGGTATATACGAGTATTTAGTCTTAGTCGACTTAAGCCAATGCCGTTGCCATTTATTTTTCTTCTTCGTCTTTTTTAGTTCGGTCGTTTCGTTTTTCTTCTCCTGTTCTGCCATTTACGTTTTGTATATTGTCGGCATAATGATGTTGTCTTATAACAGATTCAGACACAACAGCCACAGTAAATTACATTAATGGCAGGAAATAATTTACCTTAAGTATTTATTGCAGCATCGTCGTCGTCATAGTCAGTGGTAATGCTGAACATTGGCAGTTACAATCAGCCACATTTACTTATATTTGAACTAGTTATGAACCATAGAAAACAGAAATGAAATTCAAGAGTCATTTTGATGTTCCTTTTTGGAGAGAATAGTTTGTATTCTGAAACTTAAATATGTTGCCAAGAAATATAACTACTAAATACTTGAAATAAATTAAAATATGTGAATACAAAAAAAAAAAATGATAATTATATCAAATCTGGTTTCATGTACGGGTATACCGCTAGGACTCATAAAGTGTATAAACTGAAACTAAATTCAAAAAGCTATAAAAATATGCTCCAAATGAGATATGCAGATATAAGTTTCAAAAGAAGTACTAGTTTATATCTCACTTATCCGGACAATTGACCCCAATCAGAATTACCAAATTTTCCGGACTATCGAGGATTTTGAAATTGATTTAAATTTTTAATAATTTACTTATAATTAAATTATAATTGTAAGAATTATTATAGCCATCATAAAAATAATCAAAACTGTAAAAATCGGAAGCCAATAATCAGGTATTCAGTATTCAGATTCTGCATCAATCACATTGTGCCATAGGTGAGGATGTTTTCCACTTTTCCTGAAAAAAAAAAACATATATTTGAATTAAATATATATAGCAAATATTTGTCACTCGATAGATCGATTGATTAGTTTCTGACTCCAACAAAATGAAACCTTAACTCAAGACAATGCAATTTGGTTTTGTGAGTATTCCCCTTTTTAATTTGTGACTCACTGCTCAGCCACTCATAATTGTCCACCCTTTGTTTTGTTTTTACAAGTTACTAATTAAAACTAAAATATGTTAGATCCTGATATTTTACCTTCCATTCTCTTCCCTTGATAGTATCCCTCCTGTTGCCTTGACGATAAAAATACACTTCATTCTATGCATCAATTAAACAAAAAAGACGTATGAACTAATTGGCAAGTCAATCAAAATAATTGCATTTCAATAAAATCTCCAGAGTAACGGAGAAGTTTTGTTATTTTCATTTTCACTTTCTGTAATCGGATCGATTTCAGGAATGGCAAAATTTTTAAAGAAATTCAGTAAAAATAATTTCATTCCCAATTATTTGCATTTAATTATATCATTCAACTAAAATTACTAAGTTAACAAAATTAAATTAAGTAAAATAATTGAATTGCCAGAAGGCGAAAGCAGTAATAGAACAATATGAATTCCTGCAAAGCCAGATTTCAATTATAAAATAAATATATTTCCCTCTTCTATATACTAGTCAACAAAATAAATTTAAAGTACAACATTTCTCACATATACAAAATAATATATTTCAAACAAATTAACATTCATTATTGTTCATTTTATTTATTTGTTTACTAATAAAATATCCTTTCCATCGTTTGTATTTGACAGGTGGTTGGATAACAGTTTGCGTAGACTATTATTGCCGTGAATAACCAAACAAGACATTGTTAATTTAAAACTCAGACTAAAGAAGTGAAATCTTAAAGCTGCTCATAAAATGCCATTTGGCCTGTGGGTGTGCTGCAGACTCTTCTAGTGCCGCAACTGCCAACACTTCAGCACACCAGTCCAATTCGCATCAAAAGTGTGTTTTCAACACACACACACACACACTGGCATTATAACTATGAATACAACTGACAAAAGAATTTAAACGAACAAGAAAAAGAAGGGCAACAGCAAGCGGTTGCTAACAATTGAATGAAAGAAGTAACAGAATCCAAAAAAAACTTGTCAACAAAGAAAAAAACATAAAGAAGCAGCAGGTGCAGGTGCAACCAAATGTAGACAATATTGAGTCATTTTTTCTTCGTATTCACATGCACACAACTCAACAACGACAACAATATCCAGTTAGTAGCAGCACTTGCATGCAAATATTGTTTTAAATAAAGTGCCAAAGACCAAGAAAGGAAGAAAAACTCCTTACCCATTGGGTTGGGTGGATTTCGAAAAACAACAAAAACAACAGAAAACAAAGACACCAGTGAAATGTATCTTCCAGCACCACGTGTACCATACAAGTGATGCATGTGCCTGAACAACAACAACAAAATAAAGGGATAGAATTGTGAAAAGGATAACAAGAGCATCACCACGTAAATGGAACAGCCCACCAACCGCCAGGCATCACATCCTTCTCATATAGATGCCAGCCTGATGTGAATCCCTTATGCAGTTACAAATGATGAACAACCATGCAAAATGGGCCTGAATGCGGTACTGTCTGTTTTATACAACGAAACGTTGAATGAATCCACTGCCAGCAACAACTAAGCCACCAGCAGCCAACTCCAACAACAACAACAGCAGCAAAACACACAACTAGAAGTGGCGAAAATACAACTAAAAAAGATCCTGTTAAGTGGCCCTTGCACAAGTGAAATTTTAAGTGCTTAACGCGCTGCCAGCAAAAAACAAGCCGTAATCCAACACTCGCATTTGCACTTACTCACCAACACCAGCACACACACACACATGCTAGCATCTTTGCCAGCCAGCCACAAAAGAGAAAAAACCCATAACCAACAAATATAATTGAAATTTAAAAGTCCTTTCCTCTTTCTCTGGATGGGAGAGAATGGCACAACAATCATAAATTCTTCCATTGGAGGGGCAGAAAAAAATAACGCAACAACGCAATAAAAAAGCGATTGAGAGGAGCACAACAACGGAGAAACTTAATTAGAGCACAGACACAATGGCATCACTGCGTAATCTCTCGTAGTTAAGTGGAGAACAAAAGCATACGGCCAACTTACGCACACACACATACACACGCTCGTACTCCAACAGAATAAGGGCAACGACGATTTCTTCTGTTCAAAATAACGGCAACAACAATAAGAGGCCAACTCACAAAAATTGCCTACAATCCCACAAAAGCGGTTGCTTATGCAACCGTTGCGCCACTAAAGCATAATGATTATGTTGCATCATGGCATGCAACAACAACGACGACGACGATGCCCTACACTCAGAGACGCCATACAATTTATCACACCTGCCGCACAAACGACTGCGACATTACTGCGTCTACAGCCGAAACACAGTCGAAGAAAATTAAGCCGACGCCAGCAGAAGCAGCAGCAGCACTACCACCACCGTCACCTACATCAACAGCCAACAAAACGAATACCTCTGCCATTGGCTTTATTGTTGGTCGCAACATTGGGTACAATGAGTGGGCCATACGGTAGCAGTGTATCAGCCCTAGCAATGAACGGAGGCAATAACAACAATAAAGTTTCTCAAAATAGCATAAATGTAAACAGCAACAACAATAACAATCTAAGCTTAAGGACATCAGCTTTAATAGCAGCTGCCTCGACTACCACATCCACGTCCTCCGCCTCCACATCAACGTCATCATCGTCGTCCTCCTCGTTAGTTGGGTCAAATGGAAATGCTGTGCCATCATTGGCACTAACAGCGGTGGGTGGTAGCAGTTCTAGTTCCTCATCAATGTCTTCTTCATCCTCCTCCTCGTCTTCATCATCGATGTCTTCGTCCTCGTCTTCCTCCTCATCGTCCTCGTCTTCGTCATCATCATCATCATCGAATTCTCGTAGCAGTCGTCAATATGGCAGTAACAGCAACAACAACAACAATCAACATGACCAATTACCTTCACAACTTTCATCACGTATCATTCACACACGCAATGGAGCCTTATCGGGCGTAATTGTACAATTAGATGGCCGCCATTTAGATCCGGTTGAGGCATATCGTGGCATTCCGTATGCATCGCCACCTGTCGGTAATTTGAGATTTATGCCACCTGTATCGGCGGCCATGTGGTCAGGCGTCAGAAAGGCAGACAGGTAAGTTCGTTTAGTTTTCTGGTGTGAAGTCACGTTGTGACCGGTGTTCTTGTTTTATTTGGTGTTGTTGTTAGTGGTGGTGGTGTTGGTATTGGCATTGTTATTATTATTGTTATTATTGTCCATTCTGCAATGCAAAGCTGTTCAACTTTTATAGATTTAGTAAATTACAGTCTATAAGCGTCAGACATATATCCGTTTTAAAGTTATAGCCTACAGCAGGAGAGTGAGAAAAAGAGAAAAAGTATAAATGTGTTGGTTGATCAAATGTCAGAGAACACTGTTCTACAAGCAAAGGGACTTAAAACGACTTCTTGAAAGGGAATCTCAAGTGTATTGGATGTTTTTTAATAAATAAATATGGTGAAAAACGAATCCACCAATTAAATAGTCAGCAACCAATCGTTGATTAAAATAAATGATAAATGATTAAAGCAATTACAATTTTGATATATTGAAAATAAGTAACCGAAAAGTAATAAAGAAATAAAAAAACAATTATGGAATATTTTCCAAAAATTTGATACTTCTCATGTATGCTATACGCATGATTTTTTCTGAGCATGTATGAATATACTTATCATCAAGTATTCCTTTATGTGTACATTGGAAAAATTTTGCCAGTTTTTGTTACGATAACACATAGAGTACAACATGCAATCAAAATTTCTTTTTAATTTTAGTTCTAAAGTTTATTTATGCGTTTATTACATTTGTAGACCTGTGTAGTACATTGACATGAACAAACCCAGTTAAACTCAATAACTCGTTGTTGGCAATTTTAAAAACTGATAAATCAACGGTTATTTTACATCATGGGAGGTTAATTAAAAAATGGAATACAATTTGCTATTTCAATGGAAATTTATTGGTTACAGAAAATGCCATTTTATGATATTATACGCTAGTGGTAAGTCATATATGCATAGGGGATACTTTTTACTTGGAGGAACAGTGCATATTCATTTAATTTAAATACAAAAATATATGGGAGAGAAAAATACTATCGTTTGAGAAAAACACCCATTGCCAAGAGTTTTTTTTTCTCGAAATGGAACTAATCTTCTTAATCATGATGTATTAAAGTTTGGTATAACACGTACAGAGGTGAACGCTGGAAATGTGTACGCAAACAACGGTGCCTTAAGAAGTATAGGAATTTTCCAACATCTGCAGTCACTGAAACCAAGTTCAATTATTGAACATAAAAAACCTTTAACAGCATTATGAAGTATAGAAAACATTGAAGGTTCATGTATGAACAATGAAAAATAAAAGTGATCGCAATAGCATCAATCGATCCATCGGTAACTATATCCCACTTACCCTTGCTATCAAAACTGCAGTAGTACTAATGCAGTAATGCTCGAAGTTTTCAGGAAGAAGACGCTGATCGTTGTGAAGAAATATCCACCATTTTACAGATGTGTAAACATCATTAATTATTTTAGCTTTGATAAATTACAACAGCATTCCACTTTGTCTTCCTCTTTTAAACATATTTGTTGCCAAAAATATTTTAACACCACAAATGTAATAGCCAAAAAATTTACTGTATTTTGAATGAGATTTCTGTTATTAATTTTCACTGAACAACTTCATGTTGGCTTTTTGAAATAAATGAATGAAACTTAATGTTCTCTTAAAATAGTCTGGAGTACCACTAATACCTAAGTGTACACGTGTAGTTGTGCTATGGGTGGGGATTGGTGTGTGTGTGTGTTTTTGCGAACAGTGAACTGCTCCGGTTGCCAAGACACAGAAACCTCCAAAATTCGTGCCACAACAGTCGTTAACAAGTTATAACGTGCATTAACAATTTCCTGGAATACCGGCAATGTCGTGTGTGTTCCATACCCGCAGTTCCACTTCAACTTAAGGATACTTTAGCTGGAATTGTTGAAATTTAATGGCAACAAATAAAAAGAGATTAAGAACCAAGGTTCCATAACCAAAAAAAGATATCACACAATGAATGTCAAAGAAGAAGACACAACAAAGGGGAATTATATTTTTAGCAAAGATGGACATGGATGACTCCAGGAATGAGGATTGCAAATCTTGTATATAATAAATTTATGCATTTTACAACATCAGCAGGTTAACGATGTTTTTGGACTCGCAGTGTGCTAGTATCCGCCACGAAGTTGGCCAAATAACCTCAAACATTTTATTAACAATAAAATTTATATATATTTCCTTTAGCCTTTGCCAGGATTACAATGGCCAGAGATTAGGAAAGAGTCATGCAAACGACACTCGTGCCATCATAAACGAAGTGTAAAATTTCCTGTCATAAATTCCAGCTTCAAATAAATTCGCATTTTGTTAAGTCTTTAATGGTAAGGATTTGGATGCGTTTAATGATGCCGGGCACATTTTTAGATAATTCTCGTTGACGCAGAATGTTATGGGATGAACTAGGCTATACCCTCTCCCATGACTATGAAGAAAATAACAGACGAAAACTTTGAGTTAATGGCTATCCTAATAAAATCTAAATGAATGTCTTTAATAAAAACGAAGAAACCAACTGACACGGAAATGATTGGTCAACCTACCAACGGCAAAACCAAAACACCTCAACTCATTTCATCTCATTTTATGGAGCTCCTGGATAACTTGATTCCGTTGTTATGATTGGTTAAGTGAAAAAAAAACAGCAAAGCAATCTAAGAATAAAAATAATAAACGCGCCAACATAAAATTGAAAATTGTCTGTTCATCACTAAAAATTATGCAGCATGGAAAGGCGTAATCTTCATTCTCAACATTATGGATTTGCAACCAACACACTCAAACGCACAAAGCCAAAGGCAATGATTCTGCAAAAAGAACACAACCATAGTTAGTGGTTGGATATAATGAGATTTGAAGAGGTGGCGTTTAGCAGAAAAAGCAATTTGAGATGCAGAAATTGAACGAAACGAACGTAACGTAATAGCAGGCAACATTAAAATGATTTTAAATTGAGTTTTATTTCATTAGATGTTGCAACAACCTAAGAGATTAACAAGCAATCAAACAATGTTGGAATTTTCATCCGAACCGCACCCACCCCATCCCACACACATACACTGCAATCTGAAATATAGACTTCCTGCCGTATGCCGCTAAAGTAATTTCCCAGAAAGGGGGATCCACCAAAAGACACTCTAAGGTGTTAGGTGTGTCGTGTTCATAGCTGAACAACAACAAAATTGGAAATTATTTCCTGCCGTCATAGACGTTGCTCCCTTTTTTTGTACGTTAGATGGATTATTGTTTCTAGAATTTTTTGCCGTTTGAAATTTAGGCGTTTCTTAACATAGTTGTTGCATCATGCAATAACATTTAACTTATTGTTGTATTTACCAAGCCTTTAGCAAAAATACTTATATATTTGTAGGATGGAAAGTTAAGTGGGAGTGTTTTGTTGTCATAAGTTACAAAACAAAGAAGTTTCGCAATTTTGATCTACGTTTTGGCAAAGACAAAAATAAATTACAACTGACAGAATGCAATTACAGAGCGGATAGTAATGCTCATGATATGTCTTCAGTAATGTTCAAATATAATTTGTTTGATAAAAATTCATTAAAAAAAATGATACTGTGTATAAAATTTGTAAGGAAATGCTTTAGTCGGATATGAATTAAATTTTTTCTTATAGAAGTCTTTTAGGTATTAACGTTATACGGTTGTTATACGATCAGAGCGAGGGCGTAGATGCTATAAAATTTTATGTTAACAGTTATGGTTAAAAACTACGTTTTTAGTTTTCGTGGTAGTCTAATAATATTTGTTGTGTGGAAACAAAATATTTTTTTTCGCTTTGCTACAAAATTCCGGGTCAAATGACCAATACTATTGTGAATGACCAATACTATTGAAAAATTACAAAATTTTCATCTTATGGCGTAAATCGTTCACTGCGGGAAACATGACCCGGAAATTTTACCAGTCTATGAAATAGAAGCTGTCGACCTTTAATGTAAAATAAATTCTATTGATGATAAATTTCAGTTTGTCACCGAAGGAACATTTTTATAAATATACTCTATATATAACGGCTCTTTTCATTATTTTGAAGCCAGAAACTTCTGCAGACTTTTTGTGGACCAAAGGATTTGAATTAGTTGTTGAACCTCTAGATGTTAATATACCATAAGACTATGGTACTGACAGTTGTTTACTGTTGAATACATTATTGGTTATGGATACATAAAACATTCCAATTAAATTACATAATTTTGTCAGCATTTAAGTTCATGGAACCTTTTATTTTCAACTAAGTTCTAAATTTCAACTCTCAAATTAATATCAATTTTTTATGTCTAGTTTTTATAAAGTCAATTATGAAGTAAAATTTCAAGCAGTATCATAGCAACAATGAACATTTACCATACGTCTCTTTTTTTTTTTTTTTTTTTTTTTTTTTTTTTTGTTTTTGTGGACCATTTACCTTTTTTACAATATACAGTAAATATTTCACATTAATCTCTGCTTAACATAGATAATCTTTGAATATATTACTTTCGGCACTAAAGTTATCTCATAAAATTCTCTACTTAACAAAATACATCTATTTTCTATGAACACTTAAAACTATTCTTCAAATTTTATAGTCAATTTCTAAAACCATATACGAACACGAGCACATATGGTACCATTCATATTCATGGACATAACAATAGAGTTAACAGCTAACTAACAAAAATTCCTATTAAAAGTTGGTACTATAATTCTTGTTTTTGGGGTAAGTGATAGCCCATACGTTCAAATTTTTATTAAATTACCTCAGTTGGTTATCACATCTACATACATAAACACACACACACCCACCATTAAAACTGGGATATAAACTTTGTCGTATTCCTTTCGAGTATGTGTGTGCTTCGTTTCAAATTAGCACCTACAAGTATCGTCGAATTTTATAGTTATAACGAAAGGCCTATTAATATTTATTAGCTTTAAAAGTTAGGGAATATCCTATTGTTGTGCTTCTTCTTTTAGTTTGTTAATTAAGTCATGAATAACAATACGGTTGGGTAGGAGGCGTTGGGTAACGGTTTAGGAATTTTGGTTGATTTGTCTGTTTTGAAGGAGTGACCTTTGTAATGAAACAAAGACAAAAAGGATATGACAGGTGTTGCTGTCATTGTTTTCCGAACAACTGTATGCTGTCTAACTCGAAAAAAGAAACTGAATAATTTTTATATTATTTGTTTTGTCTACGTTTCAAGACCCCTTACCCACAGATTTTGCTTTATCATGTTATTTTTTGTGTAACTAATTTTTTAGCTCCCCTCTTGGTATTGTATCTTTTTCGACATTGTTTGAGTTATTTGTTACTTTTTTGCTTCATATCTTTGCTGATTATTTTTTTCCTGGTTATTTTCCCTTTCTTAATAATACCTGGAAGGCATACAAGGCGTACATGAGTGCAAGGTTTCATTATTGTCATTTACCCCAAGCGAAATCATTTTCATTTCTTCCATTTCATTTTTTAAATGAATGAACCCCAAAAAAAGTTTTAAATACTTTTAAGAGTTTTTATATTTGCCTTCTTGGCCGTTTTCTCAATTTACAGTTGATTTAAAAGAGGGTAAAAAGATTCATTTGATTTTGTAAGATTTCTTGCCTTTTTATTTTTTACTTCCTTCCTTCCGTTTTACCCAAAAGGGTCATGTACGAAGAATTTTTGATTTTCATGACCCTTGGGAAAATACAAAAAATTAAAGAAAATCGAAAGGTGCGTTTGCCTAATTGTGTTTTAGTTGACATTTACATAAAATTAATTAAGTCGCCTTTGTAATCGGCAAGGAATCCACGTGCTTAGAAAAAAGTCATATTTTATAGGAAGTTGTAGTAGTGCTGTGATCCCTGTCTCGAATAGCATAATTATTTATATTTAATCAGATGAACACGAAAGTCTTCTCATATACATCTAACTTAACAGGTTCTTGCGAATGCCGGTTGTATAGATAGCGATGTAGGTTAAATGGTTTTGTAATACCTATGTGCACTTCGGATTGGACAAAACACAAATAAAGCAGAAAGTAGTCGCCCCAAATGATACCCTACATCCCATTAAAGTAACTCATTAGAGTTATAATGGGTGCAATATATATGGACTATTAGCTACATACTTTGGAAATATATCCTACATTTGATTTTATTTGGTAAGACAAAGGGTATTTTGTAACCATTTACATCAAAATGGAAGATATATTCAAATTAGAACTGAGTTAGTTGCAACTTGACAAACGTCATTCTAGACTATCTTCAGTACCTTACCATAAATTTCGAGTGAATCGGACTAACATTTGGCAGCTCATACACCATTTACATCAAATCGGATGCAATATAGGTATGGGGATTTATTAGGTTCAATAGGGTTCGATCAAATAAAGAAAATTTCATGGACATGCAGACGATTTGGAAAACCATTCCATGTATATCCTCAAAATTTAATATTGGTTTATTTTGTTTTCTTTGTTTCTTCATGTTACAAACAAATGCACAGGGGCCTAACATCCTGCACCACGGTTTGGTGTACGAAATGACACTCCTTAAGCAACTCCTTGCCCAAAACAATTTACACACACACACACACACACCTTTAATTGTCATTATCGCCATTCATTGCAATATTGATAACAATATTATCCGCTATAATAACCATTTAATATTGGCAATTTATTTTTGCTTGCATGGCATAGGAATAAATAATGCTTAGAACTATCAAAGAACAATAACAATTATTACCTACCTTATCGTAATGACTTTGTATTGTTGTTACATTCACACATATTATCGCCTTGGCTTTTAATACATTTTTGACACGTGGCAAGAAAACTGCAGCGTTTATTGATTTCAGATTTTTTGTTTGCCATAAGCAAAAAATAAATAAACGATTGAAAGAATGAAACAATTGGCTACTGCAAACATGCACACTCACAAACAAACGTTTTAAATTCATATCGTAAAATATACCAACTTTAATGACTGGCACTAATCGCTGCTAATAATCACCGAGGCTTGTGAAATACCCATAAATATAAATTATAGCATTTTACAGTCCAAATGTCTTTTTGGCTATTTTCGTCTGGGTTGTTGTTCTTGTTGTACCGAAATGCCTAAGGATTAGTTTTACTTCTACACAATAGTATCGTCGCCAACACCAACACCACCATAACTCATGTGTCTAACACACACACAGTTTGTGACGATAAAGGCTTAATTTCCTCCCAAACCTTTGAAAAGTCTTTTGAAACTTTTCCCGGTCCGTGCTTAGAAGACGAAGGATAACACAAAAACTTTCAAAGCTATATCTTTCAGACGGGTGTATATTTGTTTGTACTGGGTGTGTATTGAGTGTATTTTTGGTATTAGGATTTTGCAGGTTGGCGTCTATGAGTCCGGGGGGAAGAAAGGATATTAAGTGCAAAATAACAGTTGTTGCCTGGGGCTCTTGTGAATGTTATTTGCAATAATTCTCAACTTTTAAACGGATTTTAAGTTTTATAACATCATTTGGTTAGTCATTCCGATCGATGGAGATATAAATTTAATTTAGTAAATCTTTGCGAGGAAACGAGAAATATTGTATTGTTTGCAATAATGTAATCCACGGCTGGACACGTGCATCGCCATGGGAGTATTATGATTATTTACTACAAAACCTTGTTAGGGGCAAAGTCTGAATATATACTTTACACTGTTTGAGATATGTACAATAAAATATTGTTTAGAAGGTTGACATATGTTCGGAACTATTTGAAAAGTTTCGTCATTCGAAAATATATTGCGTCATTGGTAGATTATCTACATGAAATCGGACGAAAACGTCATTCTTGGCTTAATTTGAAGTTATTGGTCCAAGACATAATCACCTGTAGCAAAAAATGGTGTGGCATATACAAATGTGATGATATTCTTGCTTGGGTATACGTTAAAAACAACCTGCAGCATTCATATTTTTTATTACATATCAACATACTGGCTCTTTGTAAAACACCAAAATTTTCCAATTAGCATAAAATTTAATTTATACATACATGTTATCCTCTCATAAATATATACAATTTCTATAAAAATTCATAGGCTGTTTCTTCCAACTCTCTATAAAACTACAACTATAAAATATGTTATTCATTGAAAACCATTTTCCTTAACTTGACAAAAAAAGTATACACTTAAAATAGTCATTGATGAATTTGCACATTGCAAACAAATTGAAATGGTCTCAAATCAAGTTTGAAGAGACTTCAAAAATGTTACTTAAACTATAAAACTTTTTTTTTCTTTCTGAAGGAAACCGACAAAAAAGGAAAAATCTTTAAAAAGAACTTTTCCAATAAACTAAAAGAAAGGAAGGCAAGAAAATTTACAATGAAGGGAAAGAAGAAAGTTTCCATTTTGTTTGTTTTTTCTTCTCTGATATATAATGGATACCACCATTACCAACACCCAGTAGGTCTTTTGTTGGAACATCATATTTTTTCTGGTAATTTTGTGAATACACAATGTTAATCTTTGAAATCTTTTTCTTTTTTTCCATTTTCTTCTTCTATGTCTTCTTTTCATGGTGCCTTGGATGACAATGAAAAAAAGGTTCAGTCCTGTATGCCCTCAACGTCTGCCCGATATAGGCAATCAAACTGCAGCTTTGGAACGTATGCCAAAAGGTCGCTATGAGTATCTGAAACGCTTACTGCCATATTTGCTAAATCAATCTGAGGATTGTTTATATTTAAATATTTACGTTCCCATACAAGGTAAGTGTTGTTTTTGTCTGTTTGTTGTTGTTTTTATTTTTTAAAACTTTTTGTTGATTTCTCTGTTCGACAGACGCAAGGACAGACAGACATCTAAGAATATCAAAATAAAAAGAAGTCTAGCGACTTAAGTGACAATCCATTAAGAATTTAAATAAATTCGTTCAACACTTTTTTCGTACTTTCACAAAAAGGCAAAATATGCCATGGAAACTTTTCAATTTGCCACATGGACCCTCGTAGCTACTTAGGAATAAGAATATCAAATGTACTGTTGTTGGTGAGATGAAGGGAAAGAATGGTAGGAGGAGGTGTATTAAATATGTGCGATTGTTAACCTTTTTGTTATTGTTGTCAAACTTGAAGTGTTTAATATTTTCTAAAACAAAGAACGAAAGACAGACCGACAGACAGAGAGAGAGCGTCAGAAAGTCTTGGGGCTAACACTTAATGTGTTAGACAGTACGCCCAAAAGTGACAAACGACAAAAGATAAATGTTTTGTTTTCTTATTGGGAATACCTGTGGGCTAACTCCAACAGCCACCTTAAGAGGGAATAATGACAAAACCAACATGGTAAAGTTTTTTTTTGGTTTGTTTTGAAGCATTGTTTTGATGTTGTTTATTTTCTGTTTTTCTGTTCTGTTTTCTTGTCAATGGGAAATTTTTGTTGATCTTGATATTTTTGAAGAATGTAGTTTAAGCTATGTTTTGTGTTGAGGTATTTGAGTTTGGATTCGGAGGCCAGGTTGTTGTATTAATGACTTGAGCTTAATCCATATTTTTATACAGTACTCGTATTTGAAGTAATTATGGACTGCATTCCACATGTGTTCATAAAAGTATTAACAAAGTTATTGTAGTACTTATAATTCCCTGACAACTCTGTTGTCAGGGTATTATAGCTTTGAGTATTTAACGTCGCGAAATATTGATCCTAAACCCACCTTTCAATACACCTATCATTTCTCGACCAGCTGATTAAATATAGACATGCGTGCCCAATATTGGCCGTAGTTATGGACCAATCGTCACGAAATATTGCATGTAGGATGGGTTCTGGCCAATGAAGACCCCTATTGTTTTTCGTAATGATCTGTTAATATTTAGGTGATGAAATTGACTGAAAACTTTATTTTGAATGTTTTTTCTGGTCGCTCCAGAGGCTATAATTATGTTCCAAACACAACGAAATCTTACATCAGGACAGAAAATAATAAGCATACCTGTTTTGATGAAGATTGATCAATATTTAGCATGTCAAATGGCTGTTTAGATGATGATCGGTCAGTATTCCGAGGATCAAATTAAACAATTTTTTTTTATTTTATGACGTAAATATTCACCTTGTGAAAACAAGATTTGGAAAATATGCCAGGGTTAGGACTTTTTCCTATAACCGGTTAAGAGGGTGCAAATATCGCGAAATATTGCCCAGGCTCAGAATGTAGAACCCCAAAATGTTAAATTTTCGTGGTAGTTTTTTAGGGTATCATATGGTTGGCCACGTCCAACTGTACAGCACCACTCACTGTTTTTTTAACGATAATAAGGCAAATTTAAATGACTAACTATATATTTTAGGATTTTCAAATTTTAGACATTCGTACAATTTTGATTTCAGATGTTCAAATTTTTGGTATCTGTATACCTTTTAATTTAGTTGTTATTAGTTTTTATAGAAGTTCAACCTTGTTTTTTCATCTATCATTAAATCATTAGCTACTTCCATTTGGATATAGTTTATGCATCCATTACAAAAAAGTATATGCCATCTATTGTTGCTCTGGTCAATTTGCCTACCTTTATTGAAATACATTCACACACACACTCATACCATATGCTATTTTCATTCTCTCGTTAAAATCATAAATCACTTTTTCCTAAAAATAAAAACTGCAACAAACTTGGACAATAACATATTTTTGGTCCATAAGTTATGGAATGAAAACTAGGCAAAACTACAATAATCAGCACAGAAATTGGGGGAAAAATATTATTTTTTATCGCCCTATCCGAAAAATGAAGTTAGATTTTTTTGCTTCATTTTGCTCTAGAAGTTCAAAAATTTAAGCCTCAAATATATGCAAATGTTTATTTGGCAATGCTGCGCCTTAATGTATGCCTCAATATTTTGCCCGAGTGTTTTTCAAATTGTCGAGTTTGTGTTTTTTTTATTCAGCTGAATTTTTATCAGTTTGCATATTTGAAGTTTTCCATTCCGTTATTTTTGGTTTTCATATTGTTGTTGCCTCCTTCCTTCTTTTCCCATTTTGGGGGTGAACGAATGGAAAAAAGTTATAATTTAGTGCCATATATTAATATTTGCGTTGCTGTAAATGCCAAATTTTGTAAAAGCACAAATAGAAAAAAATTGAAGTTCTCACCACCACCCCAATCATCTATGGGGTTCAGAAAACTTTTTGAACTCTTTTTAAGGGCATTTTTCTCAGCTCGTATATGAAATATGCTGTGTGTGCATGCTGTGGAGGAATGTAAGCAAATAAAGTTTTTTTTTTCTTCTCAGGGTTCTTTTAAAGAAAGCTATCGCAAGTTATGACAACATTTGTGTTAATTATGCCATATCGCTTTTATCGAAAAGTTCAATACTTTCAGTTTTAGAACAGCAACATAGTAAACATACCATATTCGTATAACATGCTTCGAAAAATTGCGGAACTGGATGTGCTTGTTTTATGATAAAGTGTTTATAGGAATCTATACATTTGAAGGAGTTGGGGTTAAAATATTCGATTCCTTGTGTGGTGTATACAAAATTTGAAATATGATTATGAGTTTTGAAACGATTATCACGTACTATTGTCGCATTAATCTTAACAAATGTGTGATGAATGTATAATTTATTAGTAAAAAAAACAAATATATTTTCAGTAAAAAATATGAAAATTAGAATGACAAATTTGAAGCCGTTTTAAATGGAAATATGTATGGAGACTCTTAAGTAGAATGCTATCAACGCAATGTTCTCATGTAGGCTACACTTATTACGATATCAATTCGCACACAATATATATGTACTAAAACCTGATATATTGTATCAGAAGCAAACTTAAATAAAAATTAAAATTTACGTATCAAAGCTGTAATCGAGAAAGTCATCAACTGATTGCCGATCCCGATGTTAAAATTGTACGAAAACAAAAGACATAAGTGTATCGGAGCGATGTAGAATAATATTTTAATTTAAATTAATTCAATTAAAGAAAACTCAAGACAATGCCTGCGGTTAATATATCAATTAAAAATTCAATTTGTCTTAAATGTTATTTTCAAACAAAGAAATATTTTAATTAAAAAAATTACCCAATAACGTAATGCTTCTTTCGTTGAAATGTGGGGATGATGACAATTTTCTTAAAAAAAATACAAACAAAAGCTTTACTAAGGCTTCTGCAAGAAAGAAAAAAAAAGAATGATGAAAAATTAACACACATAATCTGCACTTCAGGGCTCTATGGTCTACTGATTTTTTTTCTGTATAAATATTAATTTTTTGGTTATAGCTACTGTACCGGAACACCTGGTTGTATTTTATTTTTTACGCATATATATTATATTTGTATGTGTGTATGTATATCCAAAGATTTTTTTTATTTCAAATGTTCATCACATTATTCTGCTAAGCTGAAATCTTATGAAAAATGTCTGTTAATTAAAATATTAATGTATCTCCCAGAAAATTTAAGAGTGCGTCGTCACATGGAATTAAGGTAGAAAAACAAGTGCTGTTTTAACACGTTATTAGTGTGGTAAAAAAATAACCCGCCAAACACTACTGAAGTTGTAGACGAGGCACGGTCATACTGTTTGGTTTATTGCTTTAACTAGCAATACCAACAACAACGTTATGTGCATTCGAAAATGACGACACATAGCAGTGGGAAATGTATTGTAGTAAAGTGCTGTTTCAACACGATCCGAAACTATAGTCTTCCCTGCCTTACCCCTCGGCGGACAATGCCATACATTCCCCACTAATAAATAGTTGTTTTTTTGTTTTTTTTTGTTTTTGTAAACAACAAACTGGGATTAGGCCTGACTATTTTGCAAAAACAAAATACAAATATTATCCCAAATAACCCGCCAAACACTACTGTAGTAAAAAAATATATAATTTTTTATTAACCCATTTAATTTATAAAATAGACATTTTCATGAAAATTGAATACAAAATACAATTAAATACAAAAAATATTTAATATAATTTAAGATTTATATTATATCTCCATGGGGTTTTTTGGAATTTTTTTAATGTTCTTCATTTTTACCAGAAACAGAAATTGTTATGTTAGTATACTCTAATTTTTGTTAAACGGTAACTTCACGGCAATCTGGTCTTCTAATATTTAGGATCCACAGATTTACATGATTCGGCAATATGTTCTGCTTTACTTTTAAAGCGCATTACTTAAATTTTGTAAACCTAAAGTTTGTAGGTAACCAGGATGATTCCGAGCCTGGGTTCCTCCCTCTTCTTCTCATCATCACCCTAGCCTTTAGTAAATCTCCATTATGTTTGACCCTCTACATAAACTTCATTTCCTTTCCAATTTTCCATTTGCACTCAATAATACCTTATTAATATTTCGTATTAAAATTCTCTAGAAAATTATAAATATTAATGAACTACTAATTAAAAATCGTGGTTTTCTCATTGTTTTTCGTTTATTATTCAAATTTTTGTGCAACGTAATTTTCGGTTAATAACGACTTACGTACCCGTCTTTGAAACCAAAGTATCATTTCAATGGAAAGTCTCGGATTTAAGTTTTGATTTTATACGGCTACATGTCACTGCAAATGAAACCAAAATAATGACAACTGAAAAGCAGATGTGGTTATAATCAGAAACTTAATTATGATGGAAAGTAAGAACCATGTATAATTTTATCTATTCCATTACCGCCAGCACCTGCATGATACCGAACAATGACACATTCTTTAGTGTCATTGTTAGACTTCTAATGAGAAAAAATATA